AGATTATGCAAACAAGTTTCCAGGAAATTAGTGTATCCAAAATATAACAACCTTTATTCCATTCCTGATAAACTCCATTTCTCCTTTTTATATAGCCCTTTTCCTCTCACAAGTAGGTAAATTCCATGTGTATACAATGAATCTTTGCATCCTTAACATCTAGCCTATGTCTTGGTCAAACATGTTGTTAAACTCCAGATGACTCTGCATTTTGCTCACAGTAGAAAAGGAAGTGTCAAAATATTACTATCCAAGCCCCTCTTTGCCTCACTTTTCAAAGAAAACCATCTAAAGTATTTCTTCTGTTAAAGAGATTATATCAGAAGTGTCTGTTATCAAGGTGCTCATTCCTCAGTTTGCACTGTATTAGACAGAACTTCAAAGCTTGAAAGCCTGTCTCCAACAGGTATAAGATGAACATGTAAATTCTGACAGTCAGTAGCCAGGACCTAGAGAAGACCAGGAAGTACATCTGTCTCCTAAGTGAAGTTCAACCAGTGATGCCTTTCCTGTGTTTTTAAATTTGTCAGAGGCATTTTAATTCAGAATTTAGTTTTTACATAATGCAGACCAGTAACAGCCCAGTAGGGTAAATACACAAAGATGAGTAGTTAGCGACCTTCCTACTGCTATGTTTCCTCCTAAAGAATGTAACGTGCCTTTATAAATACTAGAGGGCTTCTCAGAGAATAGTTGTGAGTGGCATGATGTGCACCTGCTGTGTGTGTCCCAGGCCCTCAGCCAAGAGTTGGTGATAAACTTGTGAACAAAGTTAGTATGCACCTTAATAATGAGTTTGAGAACCATAACTGACCTGGCAAACATATGTGGACAAATGTTGAATTCTTTTATTACCAGTTATAAATTATCAATTATTAAATGTCTCAATGCAATGAAAAGTTGTACCCCATAAAGAGATTGGAATAAAGTGAATTTAAACAGCACAACCTTCTTTTTTGAACATATTCTTAAAAATGGTTTGTCTCCTAGATAATTAAATCCCATGTACATATACCATGTCAACTTTTTCTCCCTGACATCAGCCACTTGTTACACAGACAGTGCCTTGGAAATGTACCTGTGCTGTTGCCATAGCAACACCCTAAGAATGACCTCAGCAGCCACTCAGAATAATTCTTACAAAACAAATTATGACTATAATTAACTCTGAATTTATTCTGCAATATAAATTCGTTCAGACCTTGGTATTTCCTTTCAAAAGGTTAAATGAGTAATCCAGTAAAACCCCCACCCCAGTCTTCTACCAGTTTTTCCTCAGAATATAAAATACTTTAATGGAAGGTACAGTTCAGAGGCTTTTCTATTACCTTGCCTCAAAATGCGACAAACACTAACAAATGAGATGTGCTGGTCTTATTACCATGCCAGAGCTCTGTTTCTGAGAGAACAGAGTGGCGTTTTTCCCCTTCAGCAAATGTGAAACACAGGAAGTGCTACGAGTCCATCCTCTGAGTCCTGTGAGCACAGTGCGGGGAGAGCAGGTAGGATCACTGGTTCTGCAAGCAGCTTCTCTGCACACCAGCTTCTTCTTGGCAGTGAAAACATGGTAGTTCTTAGTCATCTCTGTGCTTTACCTGCTTCACAAATTGCATTTTCAGTCCTGGGTAGCCCCTCAGATCTTCCACTGGGGGAGAAAAGTAGTTTGTTTTGTTCTGTTTGGTTGAGGAGTCTATTGTTGGTTTGTTTTCTCTGCCGTGGGTTGTATCCTAGATGATGTGTACTGGAAATAGCAGAGTTGAATGCAGTTCCTTTCAGAAAGCCTTTTTGTTAAACTAGATTAATTTAACTTTTTATACCAAATGAAGTGAGTTTTCTCTTCACCATTCAACTGAGGCAAAAGGAAAAAGAATGTTGAGCAGGAATTGTCCCTTTCAACTGAATCAGAAGTATATGGAACATCTTTAAAGGACATAGAAATGTAAACATTGCAATGAAATATATTGGTACCATGACAGTGAACAGACCCTGTGAGGCTGTGTATGCTCAGTGTTGTTATTCTGTATGAACTGTGCTGCCATTGAAAAGAAACACAAGAAGAATAAGGAGAAAGAATATTCTTATAGTGTACATATTTTAGGAATGTAGGTATTGTCTGAGTAGGACACTGGGCACCTGGAGAGTTTCTAAGCACAGCCTCTAGACCCTTACATATGGTCTTGCAGTTGCAGGTGTGCACTGGATTCCATCTCACCCATGTGTGTCTCTCAGAGAGCTCAGTGCATCCTTCTAGTTACCAGTGCTCCTGCCATGCAGTTTAACAGTTACTCTCAACCTTCTATGCTTTTTTTTTTTTTTTTTTTCGAAGATTGACCCCATGGCCTGGCTGAAGTAAATCCCAGCCACCATCCCCCTTTGTGATACTAGAAATTGAACCCAACTTCCCCTTTTGAGACAGGATCTTGCCTAGTGGCACAGGTTGGGCTCAAACTTGTGCTCTTCTTGCAGCCCCAGCACCACCACCACCCCACCCCCTGTGCTAGAATTACAGTGTGTACCACCACCACCCCCCACAGCATGTGCTGTGCTTTCAACTCTTGCAAACACGTATCTGTTCGTAAATGAATGGCAGTGAGTAATCTACTCGGTTCATCTTCAGGAAGCAGAAAGCCGTGATTTTCCTTCACCTCACAGTACCTTGTATATAGAAATTAGCAATCCTCTGTTACAACTTTTGTGTGTAACAGTAAGTGAATATAAGCAGGCAGTGCATTTTCTGAGCCTGCTCACCAGTGTAATTTTAAAATTCTTTGTTCTCTCTGAAGTTCTTGAGTGTAATAGTTGAATTAATGGTGATTCTTGTGGATTTCAAAATGTGTGTTCAGGTTTTTCAAATGAAGGTACCAGAAAACTCAATTGGTACAGGGTAGCCAGTTGACTTTGTAAATATGATGTGATGCGCTTAGTTTACCTGTAGAATAGCATATAGATCAACTCCCAGGGTATGAGCTTCCTAACCTTATCAGACAGCTCCATGACCTGCCAAATAATTGACTAAAATCTTGGGTATTCTCTCAGCTGATTCCAATTAATCAGTAAAATGCTAACCTCCAGCTAGAGAATCACTCAAGTGTCCTTCATACGGCCCCTACAATATGAATTACTCTCTTTGCACTGGGAATTTCTAGGCTGATACATTTTTGTCTTAAAAGATGGATACATTACGAAAGTGACAGTAATTTTATTTCTTTGTTAAAGCCAGAGTAGCACCATTGTTTCGTGATTCCAGAATCTTACAGACTTAACGTCATATTTCCCTTTAACACTGAAGTCTCAAATTTAAGGTATGGAAACACCACTAGTAAGAGTGGTATTTAGCGCTCCTACAACTAAAACACAGTATAGCAAATCCACCCATCCAATAAATGTTCATTAACTATTATTTGCTTGGCACTAAGGCAGAAATAAAAATTCATAAGACAGAGCCTTTAGGGGGCTGGGGATTTAGCTCAGCGGCAAAAAGCGCCTGCCTGGCAAGCGCAAGGTCGTGAGTTCGGTTCCTGGTACCAGAGAAAAAAAACAAAAAAACAAAAAAACAAAAAAAAAAAAGAAATGGCTTAAGACAGAGCCTTTACTGTAGGCAGATGACATCAACTGAGTACAGTATCTGCATTATAGCTGACTGTACTTTCTGTGCACCCATGTTCCCTGTTATATATCTCAGGATTCACTGACTTGTTTGTGGTCACAAAGGAGGTGGATACTGTATCTGACTCCTTCCATTTCTTATAATGGTTCAGCTGTTCTCCAAAGCTTAGTCACAAGTTAGTCACTTTGTGTACACACAGTTGTATATTTTGAAACATGTCTCTTCTTTAGAGCAGAGGAAAGTGTCTTAGAAATCAGATAACAGTTGCAGCAGTCATTTTTACCTGGCTGTCATCAGTTCTGTCCAGTTATGTCATTCTCAACATTGCAAATGATGTTTTACTCTTTGAAAGCTTTAAAAGAAAAGAGAAGATTTTGGAAATACAAATTTATACTGGTGTGGAGCACACAAGTGGCTGTCAAGGGTTAAGGTTGGCAGGTGCATCAAGGCAGTTTCTTGATTGTGATGATTGTATGAATCTGTACTTGTGATACAATCTCAGAACTAAACACTACTCCAGATCTATATACATACGTATATTTGATATATACATGTGCATGCATATGGGTGAACTCAAAATAAGGTCTATAATATAGCTAACAGTATGATATATTACTGTCAATTACCTGGTTTTGTAAGATATTATCATTTTAAAAAGCTGGGAGAAAGGTACAGGGAAATTTTCTATATTTTTGTTTCTTTATGGAAGTCTAAATTATTTCAAAGTATTTCAGAAGTATAAGAGAATAGAAAAGTATCATGACCAGAGATATTTAAAGTTAAGTTGTGAACATCAATATTGAGATTATCTGACCTTATGTATTATTACTATAGTAACTAGAAATCTTGTGGCTTCAAATTAATCATGAATGATTTAGGCTTTGGGCAGAATTTAGGACAAAGTATTCTGTTGCCCTCTCTTAGAGGAATGAGGACATTCATTCCAGGAAAAGACTTCGAGGTTCTGCAAAAAAGAAACATCTTGACCTTATGTGTAACTTTGTTATCTGTCTATTTGTGCAAATTAGGTTTGTATAAATAATTTAGAGCTATTTGTTTTAAACTCCTGCTTTACCAACCAGGCCGGCTAAGTGAGTAGAGTGTAGGAGATTATGTAATTTGAATTTGTTAGCCTTTTTCCTCCCCTACTCTTTATTTTTTTTATTGATTCTAATTGATAGACAAAAAATGAGAAATGTGGTGAATAGATAACCCATAGAGACATAATCTGCTTCTGTGTAATTGAAGATTGACTTTATCATTGTTTCCCAAAAAACATGGCTACCTCTTTCTCATATTTTTTCATTTCTCTTACGATTCACTTTACCCTTCCCTTTCCATGGATTTGGAGTGATGATGTCACTGACACTCTTATTGTATCTTCCCTCCCTAGCTATCTGAATGACTTGGACCGCGTAGCTGATCCTTCCTACCTGCCTACGCAGCAAGATGTGCTTAGAGTTCGAGTCCCCACTACAGGGATCATCGAATATCCCTTTGACTTACAAAGTGTCATTTTCAGGTAGTAGTTGAATCCATGAGACCTACTTTTTCTGTTTTTATTATTTGAGTACATTTGATGAACTCTATAAATATTGAGATCATGTGTAGGGTTTAAAACAACATGGCATTACGTGAGCTGTTACCATTGGAAACAAATAAAATAATATTCTGTGGAAAGAGAAGGAGAAGGAGGATACACTGGGGGGCTTTTCATCAATTTAATTTACCAAGCAATTAATGATATCTTAGCTTGTAGTGGTAAACCAAAATCATTTACTGAACTGCCTGGCATGGTGGCGCTCACCTGTGATCCCAGCACTCGGGAGGCTGAGGCAGGATGCTGTGAGTTTGAGGCCAGCCTGGGGCACAAAGTGAGTTCAAGGCCAGCCTGAATTGCACAGTGAGACCCTGTCTCAAAAACAACCCCTCCACACCAAAAAAAAATTATTTACTCTAACATTGGTCTTGTTTCTTTAATCATTGAACTATAAGGACAATGGGTAATTTTTACAGTTATGTAAGCTATGATCTTATGACCCTATCATAATAGAAATTATGTTTTCAGAAGCTTTTATATTAATGTTTCCTTCTCATTACCTGGCACCAACACAAAATTTTTCAGTATCAATAAAACTAAGTTTCTTGACTTTTTTTTTCCAAATTTGTGATTTTGAAAATGAGTTCATTATCCTAGTCTAAGTATATGTAGCAAAATAAGATGAAAACATATTACCACCTCTTTCATTGTTATTGTTCTGTCTGGATAATACTTAAACAGAAATACTCTATTCTTTTTCTTAAAATGAGAAAAAGTAAAAATTCAAACTCAGCACCTTGCACTTGCCAGGCAGGCTCTGTGCTGCTGAGTTATATCTCTGGCCTTCAGTGTACTTTTATTTACTCTGTTATTACACACCACTCTATTGTACTGTCAGATTACAAGCCACATGATGGTTCAAGGAATGAAGCCGGTGAGTCTGCCTTTGAGTTGAGTGTATACATTGGAGCTCCTCAGGAGAGCCACCCCTTGGACATGACATGTGCATACCAGATTATGAAATGAGAGTTACTCAGCAGCTTCTCTCACTGTGTGCCTCATGAATTGGCATGCCCTCATTTCTTGCCAAAGTACCATTTTTAAATCATACCCTGCACTTGGGGCAATCTGGCTACTATACACTGCTCTAAAAGATACGACCATAAAATGAGTGGAATTTTGAAAATGTTTCTGAGCCTTAGTTTTTTTCATCTGTAAAATGACTGTTGCTCTGGCATACAGTATTACTCACATTTTGAGTTGATAACATTTAGAGACCTTAAATTTTAGCCATCCAAACTTCTTTCCTTTTTAAATCATGTTACAGAATATTTTGAGAATTCACGTAGCTTTTCATGGGGACATTAGCACTCATACCGCTTCGCAGTTAGTTCTGAAACAAGATTAGTATTACATCTTACTTTTCCCGCATTATGTACACCAGCCTTTGAAGGACGCTTTTTGTCATTAAGTAAAAGTACTGGTGACTTCAAGAGGGATGTCCTTCACCATGAGAAGCATCCTGACAGGACTTTGTGGAAAGGGGGTCGTGTAAATGGACAGTAGGTTGTGCGCAGGGGAGCATTAGGGAAGTTTGCTTTGCACCATCATTTTGCCCCTCAGATTTCTCTTTCATGCTTTTAAAGCCTTTTAGAAGCAGTTACTAAGACTTGCTGCAATTCTTAGTTTAGGCTTAATTCTGTTAGACAGGAAAACCCCAGGAGCAGTTGCCATTTTCAATAAAGGCCCTTATTCTGACTTACAGGAAAAGTGTAGGATCTGTCCCTATGGTTTAACACAACTAAGACTCATTTTTGTTCTTTTTTTTTTTTTAATTTTAAAAATAAAAGGAGGAAAACATTAACAAACAGACAACCTTTTACAAAATAGCAAAAGAACAGTACAGACAATACAGTTACAAACAAAGTGGTAGGAGATTAATAATTCTTGTTGTATTACATATTGATATCTTCAAAGTGGTTTCTCACGAATACAGATAGAGACATGCAATATTAATCAATCAAGGACTCATTGACAGTTTCTTTCAGCAAAGCAATAGAAGACAGTAGAACAGCTATGTTAACTATCCTGTATATACATACATACAAAATTTCTCCTTCTTTCCCTTCTCGTTTCCCATGTCCCAGTTGCCCTTTACCCTTGAGTGTTTTCCTATCATCTCACAATGTCTGTCGTACCTCCTAGTTTAAATTAACTCCTTCAGGTTTTACACTAGTGAAACAATGCGGTGCTTGCACATGCAGGTCTGATTTATTTCACTTATGAGTATGGTCTCTAGTTGTGACCATTTACCTATAAAGGCCTCGAGTTTATCTTTCTTTACAGCTGAGTAATATTCCATTATATAAAAGTACCACAATTTTCTTATCCAATTCATTTTTGTTCTTGACTCTTCAGTGCTTAATGAAATGAAATACTATCTTGCTTGACATACATAAGGATTTTGTTTACCAAATTATAAGTTTATGTACATCTGGTAACTTTTTAATAATCACCACAATGATTTATTATCCAGAATGTCTTGATTTTCTGTAGGTAACAGAAAATTAGTAGATAGCCAAATACTGTATTAATTTGGAAGACCATTGTCTAAGTGTGTAAGTATTGCTGTATTTATATTGATGTTTTAAAGTTTTTCTTTGCATATCGTTAATATGAGTATTGTTAACTTTGCAGAATGGTCGATGTAGGGGGCCAAAGATCAGAGAGAAGAAAATGGATACACTGCTTTGAAAATGTCACCTCAATCATGTTTCTAGTAGCGCTTAGTGAATATGATCAAGTTCTTGTGGAGTCAGACAATGAGGTAAGTGCTCTTCAGACAAGCAGTGAATCACCATCTTATTATCAGCTAGAAATAAATGACAAGAAGTAGGATATGAGGAGTAGGGGGTATAATTTTGTCTCTTCTGAGCAGGACTTCATTGCTTTTTGATAGTTGATTTTAAGACTTCTAAATAGTCAAAGATAAGCCTGTGGAACCATGTGGTGCACTTAAGAGTGGTCAGCTTTTCTGTCAGGTATGTGAGCAGCCTGTGTGCTCAGATCTGATTAGACCCTGCTGATTCTTTTAACACTGTGCAGAGGTTCTCAAAATGAAAATACTGTAGAAGTGCCATGGCTAGTCACGAGATCATTTCATAGCTTTCTTCCTAAAGGGTGGAATCAGGAGTGAGTCACTCTATTTTGCTTTCATTTGGTTTAAATCATTGTTTGTGTGATGGGTGGGTCCCAAAGAGTATTGAGAACCTCTTTCAGCAAATGTGAATAATTGTGCAGCTGGGCTCTAAATCAGTTCATTAGGGAGCCACAAAAGGTGTTGGTGACACGGCCTTTCTGCTGTTAAAGAATTGATGATTTTTTTTTTTTTCTTTTTTTGGTTTGTTTGTTTGGTTTTGTTTCTGCTGTTAAAGAATTGTGTAGTCTGCTTTGTAGTTTTCTCTGTACCAAGCAGAGAACAGTTGCAGACATGTTCTTAATACGCCTGCCTGTCTGGAGAACTCATTCAGTACTACAATCTCCTTCCCTCTGCAGGGAGACTTCACAGATGTAAATGTGGAGTTTGTGGATGGTAAAGGCTTGATGATGAGTCAAAGTTGATTGTGGAAAATAATTAAGGGGTGTAGAAAACTGTTCCTTTGAGCTAGAATTGAGCATGCATGTGTCAGAATAGAGAAAGTAGCACTGATAATCCTTTTGGAGGCAAAGCCAATGCATGCCAATAAATATTAAATATCCTTTTCCTGGGGTGAAAGGTACAAAGAAGGAAGTTCATGCCTTCAGTAGTTGATTAGAATAAAATCTGACATACTGAAATATACTTAAACACTTTACATTTTTTGGATTCACATAAATTCTGACTTTTTAGTCTTTTCTGCAGGTCTTAAAAGCTCCATGAAAATTCAGACCCAATCACCTATGGCATTTCTTTTATCCATAGGAATAATAAAATTCCTGTGAACCAGTATTGTTTATAGAGGTGATGATGACTTATTTGTGTGTTTCTATATCTTTCCTGGCTTGCCAGTATTTGAGTCAGGTGGACAGCTTCGTTTTAAGAGTCAGGCTTGTTTATCAGCTATTTTCTCCTGTAGCCATACTGTGACAGTCAGTTACTAAAATACAAGTTAGGCAGTTGTTATCAAAATTTCAGCTATGATATCTCTATATTTTTTGTCTTTATATCTATACCCATACCTTTCATAATCTTTCAATGTTGTATTTTTAATATATTGCATATTTTGGAAGCAGGTTTATTGTAACATTTCTGAAAATCCTTTGACAGCTTGCCTGCTATGTATGGGCATCATGGTATCTAAAAAGATTTGAAAATGGTAAGATTAACTTTGCCCTAAACAGCCTTAGAAAGGCCCTTGTCAGAAAATAAGTCATATGAGGGAAAGAAAGCCTCTGTTGTGTAGGTAGCTCATCGTTTCTTTTTCCACGCTGTGTACACAGGTGTGTGTGTTCGTGTGTGCATGTATGTGTGTGTTTATGTTATTGGGGCTTGAACCCAGGGGCTTACCTGTTTTGCTAATTTTAAAATGATCGATTGTTTGCTGTTAAAGCACACTTGTATTTCTCTGTAAATATAACATAGTTGCCTCATATAAAATGTGTATTGATAAGCACTTACCTTCCTCTAGCTTTAATGTAAACATAGGAAATACAGTTACATACGCTTTTTATGTCTTCCGTGTTCTGGCCTCAAACTCATGATCCTCCTGCCTCAGCCTCTCAGGGTAGCTAGGATTATACATGTGTGCCACTGTGCCCAGCTTGATTTCTCATCTTTAGTTTTCTGCTCAGTAAAAAAAAATTTATGTGAATCAACTACAGAACATAGATACAATACATAGTACATCAATTTATTATCTTAAAATTAGCAAAATAGAAAAAAGAAAGTAGATTCACACAAAATCAGGTTCTTCTGTTATCTAGACTTTATTCATTCTGTTTTTCACCTGACGTTGATAGAGATCAGACTTTTTATACAGAAGCATATTAATTCAAATGCAGTGACATTGTTTTGATTTTCAGATACCATAACTAAAGTTTCCACAGTAACTTTTCTTTCAAAATGAAAGTATTATCTCTGGTGCTTTGATTCTTAAGGTGATGCATTATATGACAGACTACAGTAATTATTTTATTTTAAAAACAAAAGAAGAAAAACATATTAACCAACAGACATCCATTTACAAAATAGCATAAGAACAGTACAAACAAAACAAAGTCACAGACAAAGTTGTAGGAAATTAGCAGTGGTTGTTGTAGTACATATTGATATCTTCAAAGTGATTTCTCAGAAAAACTGAGACATGCAAGATTGATCAAACAAATAGTCATTAACTGTTCCTTACAGTTAAGCAATAGAAGATAGTAGTACAACTATGTTAGCTATCGTGTATATACATACATACATAATTTCCCCTTCTTTTCCTTCTCTCTTCCCACACACCAGTTGCCCTTTACTTTTGAGCATTTTCCTTTCGTTTCACAATATCGATCATATCTCCTAGTTTTTATTCACTTTTTCAGGTTCTTACACTAGTGAGACAATATGTTGCTTATGCATGCAGGTCTGATTTATTTCACTTATAAGTATGGTCTCTAATTGTGACCATTTACCTACAAAAGCCTCAAGTTTACCTTTCTTTATAGCTGAGTAATATTCCATTGTTTAAAAGTACCACAATTGTTTATCCATTCCTCAGTGGGTGGACATTTGGGTTGCTTCCACAATTTAGCAATTACAAATTGTGCTGCTGTGAACATGAGTGCACATATATTGCTGTGATATGATGTTTT